TTTGCAGAGAGGTAATACATCAGAAAGTAATGGAAAATTCCCTTCAACAGGGCTGGGAAAATTTTCAGGCTCTACTATTCTCCTAGATACTACTGTGCTTTCAACATCTTGTTGAACAGTACCTTGCATTTTGCTAGCATCTCTCATCAGTATTATCTGGAAGTAGTGTTCAAAACCACTAATTTTTTTTTCAGAATGAAGTAGGTTGTAATTTGGGCTCTAGAAATATAGCCCAAGGTTTGACCAAATTTTCCTGAAGTCTAAGATGAGTTGAGTACAATAACTTAATACGAGCTGGAAGCTAAGTGGCTTGGACCATGCTTCTTGTACTCTTTTGAAGGTCAGTTTGAAGTTTGGTTGAATTAAAGGACAGAGCTTTGATAGCATTTTTCATGTGTTTCAGAATTTAACTAGGTATTAAAATGTATTTGGTTCATTTGCTGAAAGATAAATGTGATGAGTAAATAGTAACACTCGACACAATATTTTTTCTTCTGTTTTCAAAATGCACAAGAATAGTAACAAAGTGAAATAGTGATGTGTGGCCTTTCAGCATGAAGAGGCTTTTTTACTTACTTGGTCCTTTAGTGTCCCAGTGTGTTTATTGTACAGAGCCAGATATTGTTTGTCAAGACCATATATTGTTCTCACAATCCAAAGCACAAAACCAGAGCATGATGCTCAGCTATTGTGTCTAATATTACAGCACATCTAAAATACTGCAAGTAAATAATTCCAAGCTGTACCAACACTGTGTCTGCATTGTTTACTCTAGGGTAAGTCCCCTCTGCTTGCAGGTCATGTCAGGGGTACAGAGTGCTGGGATGAGTTAACAGAAGATCCTCTGAAGGGTGTCATCAAGGGATGGGTATATGAGAAGGGGAGCAGTCAGCAATAGAGTCCTATCCTGGGCAAGCATAAGAAATCTATTGGTTTCTTCAGCAAGGTGGCAGGTAAACAAAGCTGTAAAGGCTTTCCAGCAGCTGCAAGGAGGTTAGTGAACAGGATCTGGGAACCAGGTTCCTCCCAGATACTGGCTCTCTGAAACAAAACTAAGAAATTAATTTAGATCCTTTTTTTTTCCCAATCTCAGTACTGGTGGTGTTGTTGATACTCTGTAAACCATGAATCCGTAAGGAGGAATAAATACTTAGCTGACCTAATACCATCACTGGAATTAGCTGGTTCCTAACAAGACACAGAGATCAAAGACTGCACATAAAAGTAAGAGAAAACAGATTTTTGGAGCAGGAGTGGGAAGTATTTACTCCATTGACAGTTTGGGGGCACTCTCTCACCCATCACAGTCAGTGCTAAAGCACAAGGAGAAAAAAACAAAGGCAGTCTGCCGGAGCCCCAGGCTGCTACTGGCTTCGTATAGAGGGGTGCCACCAGCCTGTCAGCTGCACAGCGAGGCTGATGCCACTGAAGAATTTTCTGTAGAGGTGAAGGGAAAGGAGCTCTGGTGTTGTTGCACGAGGAGTTGAACACGAGTGGTGCATTTGCCAGGGACAATCCTTCCCACCTGGGGGATTCATGCAGGGTTACTCAGTAATTCCCAGCCCAGCGTATTGGAAAGCAGCAATAGTTGCCACAGAACCATTCTTCTCTTAACCCTGCTGTTCACTGTCACTTCAGATTTATTAGAAGCTTCCCCCCCCCTCCCCCCGCCCCGGTATTTAAAAATTAAAATGGAACTGTTCCCTAATCCTCTGTCTGCCAGGAGAGAGTGTAACCTAATCCAGCCATTTCTGGTGCTATCCCTGAAGGTCTGCAGCCAGTTCCTCCACTTCCCTGAACTCCTAGTGATCAGTGAAGACAGGGCCCCAAGATGCCATTGAGAAGATAGGTCAGACCTGAAACCTACACACAATTCAGTTTTCCAGACAGCTCTCCCAAGCACCACAAAGTGCAATTGTGGTCTGGAGCACAGCTCTGCAAACCCTGACCCTCTGCTGCACATGGCTCCCCCTCCCAGCACTGGGACCTCTGTGAGGCTCTCCCACCCCTGTGTACCTCCAGAGGTACCACCAGCGTCCCCAGAAATAGGGTGTCTGACAGCCATGCAGACACCACATTTGTTTTTCCTCTTGATCATAACAACTTCAAACAGGAAACTTCAGAGAATCAAAAAGTCGTTAGCGCATATGCTGTTCTGTGGGAGCCTTTGATTATCCTGCAGATATTTTTAGAGCCCCTTGTAAATGAACTGCAGCTCTATTTGTGTGGCAACAGCTCTGCCAGAAACAGCCTCTGGTCCCCTGTGCCCACTGCTCAGTGCCACCGCAGAGCTGGACCTGGCACTGCCCAGACACCCTGCCTCTACCTCCTGATTTAAACACCTTGGGGGGGGGCGCCTGTTTAAATCCACAAAGCTGCCCATGCTTTCCCTTCCACCTCAGGAGAGTCAGATAGGGAAGACAGCCCTAAGAAAGAGCTGCAAACCCCCTCTGGTTATGCCTGCAAGCTCTTAGCGTCACAGGCACCTGTTCTCCTGTTTCTAGGAAGAAACAAAACATTTGGTTTTTTTGCTAAATCAAGTTTCAAGTGCCAGCTGCTGACAACAGCCATCTCCATGAAGCATGTTCAGGATACCAGCAGAGCTTGGGAAGGGCATGCCAGGCTTTAACGCTATGACAACCATCACAGAGGAATTTTTTCAATTTTCATTTCGCTCTTATTGACATGAGAATCAGTGGTCCTAAATAGGAAGGACACCTTTAGCCCTAGATCAGATGAATTTGTGCAAGTTTCCTTTCCTGACACAAGCTCAGACTGTGCACTTTGCTTTAAGGGATCTTGCTTTTAAGTCCTTGGTTTGAAGTTATCAGCAAGAAGGCTGATCATTGCCAGTGGCAATGACCCAGAGTCTACAGCTCAAAACTGCCTATTGGAAACGAATTACAACCCAGCAATGCATTTCACAAGCAGCTCTGACTCTTTACACATGGTTGAGCTGCTGAAAGTGAAGCATTGTCCTGCTTTGTGTGCTGCCAATTGACTAGCAAAGACAAAACACCAGGAATGAAGTTTCAAGCTCTGACTGCCAGGTGCCCAGCAAACCCAGAGCCCATTAAACTGAAGCTAAGCCCTGACAACCACCGGGATTTTGCTGGGTTTGCTTACTGCTCAAAAATAAGTGATTTTAAATCACTACAGTGAAAGTTGCCAGAAAATGGCAAACTGTAATATGTGGAGTGCTTGATGACTTCAGTGAAGTCACCAAAACAACCTTTTCTTTTGGATCACTAATTTGGGGTATTTTCACTTCTCAGCCTAAAAACCGTCATTTGCTTCCAGCTCCTGTGGCCTCTCTCCATTGGTAAAATTTGAAGGCATTTTTTCTGAAACCAAAGCTTCTGCACAGCCCGTTACCTGTGGGGACTGATGGGTCCACTTCCATGCTTCTCCTGGGCCTAAAGTCCTGTAAGCCCAAACCTCCCACAAAGCCAGAATTTCCATCCAAATTTCCCCTCCTTTGTGAGGACTAGCAAGCTGCACTGGCACCCTGCAACCAGAACAGCCACCAGAGCAATACAGCTAGGCATCAAGTTAAAGCCCAAGACTATGAGCACTCATATGACTGTGGAACCTCAAACAGAGAGCAAAACCCTTTTTATACCATATGTATCTATTGCATAAACCCTTGCTAGAGGGGTAAACTGCTTGCCCACTCCATCTAACACTTGTTTATACACTGGTATCCGTTCCCAAGACCAACTGGAAAACTTGGATCCCTCACACCTGATTAAATTAAAGAGCCAGTCCTGTTGATGCTTTCATTTCTACATAATGAAGCTCAGCAATACTACTGGTATCAACACCTGCAGCACACAGTGCCACACACAGGATCTATACCGTCAGCTCCACAGATTGCTCCTGTTTTCTGCTTCCCCCCTGACACATGGACACATTTACAACTGAGCAATCAACTCTTTGTGCTGGAAGGGGTTTTTTTCTGCCTATGTTTCTCTCTAGCTGTGGTTGCCACCCTGTAGCAGGGGTGGCCTAAACCTTTGCAAGGTTGTCCCTGCTTGCACTACCATGCAAACCTGAGCTGCAGTGAAGGAAGGGTGACCCATAATCCCTGTGGTGCCTTTGCCATGGGCCGTATCCCCAGTAGAAGCCAGGCTCAGCCCAAGGAGGCAATGTTTTCAGCCCGGTGTTAATCCATGGACACACATACGTGTTTCAGAAGTTGTCTCTCTCACCCACACTGACTTAGCAGATGTAAGACTCTCCATGTACAAGATTAGTCTTATTTCATTGAACTGTTTTAAAAGTTGCACTTTTAGCTAATCCACTGTGAACCCAGCCTCAAGCCAAACTTCACGTCAAAGAAGAACAATCCAAAGTTAAGCCAGCCCTTTATTTTAAGATACAAAAAGTCCAGTTTCCCCTGGATTTGGAGCATGTAGAGCTCAGGAAAAATCTCTCCATCCTTCAAACCAAACCAGGCACACATGCAAGGTTTTGTCAACATGCATTACAAGCACAGCCCACCACAGCAAAGCCAACAATAATGCCACTGTACCTGACTAGAAAGGGAGCACAGAGCCTCAAGGGCACTCACTCTGCCCCCCTACCCAAAAATAGCATGTTCTGACATAGCTGCACTGGTGCTGACCCAGGGCAGCCTTGGGCTGCTGGAAGGTGTCAGCTCCTGTTCTGCAGGCTGCAGCCTTGGCACAGTACCAGCATAACCCAGCCCATGGTGAAATGATGCAGCTCCATCACAGGATATTTTGGACCTGATCACTGAGGTGAGGATGTTGAGGGGCTGCAGTGACACTCAGCATATGAGGAAGCCAGTCACTCAGGAGGGAGAACTACCAGCACCTCAAAGGGCTGCAATTAACCCTTCTCAGTTAATTAGGACTGGATCTGCTCCTTACAATCCTGGGCTGGGGAAGTGAGACCGCATCAGCTTAGACAACCTTGGTCTGGGAAAACGACATTAACTTTCAAGAACAATTTAAATAATTAGCAAGCCAACTTGATAAATTTAATTTTTTTTTTATTAACAATCATTTTACATTACAAGGATAATATGACAAAAGGAAAGTTCTCGTGTACATACTATGATATATCAACATAGCTCTATTCGTATCCAGTGTCCTAGGTCCTTTCACACAGGTACTATAAAGCATAGTCTGTAAAGTAATAACATTTTAATGTTCTCGAAAAGAGTGATATTAACATATTAATACATATGTAGTAATAGACGTCTAGATATTTTTCTCTCATTCATATGTGTGTGTGGTAGGTGAGTGGGTGGGTGAGAGATCGCTTGAAACAGTTCAGCAGGGCTGTGCTTGGATGTGGATACAGAGAGGTTTGAGATAAAGCCTCATTTTCTAGAAGTAGAAATGCATTTTTGCTAACTGTCGGGTGAGTCTATGAGGATGCCATGACTGGCAGAAAACTCTGTAGCCCTCCTGTAGCATTTGGGACATTACAGCATATGAGACATGGTTCCCCCACATAGCCCAGCGAGCTTATTTGACATGAGGTGCAGTGCATGGGAGCCCCTCGCCGGGCGGCAGCACCACCAGCACAGGCGGTGGGGAGGCGAGGCCGCGGGCTGAGCTTACATGAGTGTCAGTGGCATCTGAGGAGGGGGCTAGGAGTGAGAAAACTGTCTCTGAGGTTTGTGAGGAACAGGTGTCGAGGAGATCCCCGTGGTGCTGCACAGCTGAGGGGCTGTGGCAGAGTGGGGAGCTGCCGCCAGGCAGGGGCGGCTGAGGTGGATTACCAGTTGTGTGGAGGAGAGAGGCCTGGGAGAGGGCACTGAGGTGTGTGACAGGGCTTGGGGGGAGCTTGCACAGTGTCTGCTCAGGCAATACCAGTGTAACAAGTCATTCGGACGTCAGAATTACAACTCACCCTCCTCCAGACTGAAGTCAACAAATAAAACAAACGGCAAGGAGTGCAGTGGTTGCCAGGCCTGGCATGGAGCTGCAAAGGCAAACCTCCTCCTTCAACCCTTGTGGGGAAGCAGCTCACTGAGTAACCACCAGCTGCCAGACTGGCCAGAGGCACCTCGTGGGTCCTTTCCGGAGTCAGCCAAAGGCTTCAGGATGCAGAAGGGTCAGTGGCCTACGAGCAGCTGTGTGAAGGGAGGGATGGAGGGATGAGGCAGCTATCCATCCCACAGGCATTGGGAGACACCAGGCTGATCCATTGTTTGGATCCACCCCCATCCCAGCATGGAAATGCTGGTCATGGGAAAGTAGGTGACTCTTTGCATGGGAAGGGTAAGAGGCCTGCACCCTTCGGTGCTTCAGCCTGGCAAGGTCCATATGCTGTGTGTTGGGGCCCAAAGGCACACATGCATCACCGACCATGTCTTCCACACAATCACATCAATCTCTTTCCTCCAGAAAACCTCCCTGGGACCCCAGCCAGGCAGGCTGCTCACCAGCTGAGGAGTAGCTGTGAGACCTGAGGGAGCAGTCAGTCTGACCCAACAGAGTTGAATGTGCCTCCCCAGTGGGGATCACACACTCCCATCCATATTGCTCCAAATTCATGGTTCCTTCTCATTCATATTGCTCCAGCTCCATATACCATCCCTGCCATGTCCGACTGTGAGGCAGTAACTTTCCCCCCACTCAGTAACACCTTTGCTCTCCTGCTGCCTTTATCCTGGCATCATGGCTGTATCACTGATCGCGCCCCCAGGTTAACCCACGCTCTCACTGCGTGTTGTGTGAGCACTGGCCAGTGCAGGGTGTCCCTAGCAGTGTGCCGGCAACTACTGAGAAACACCAGGCGGAAGAGCAGAAAGCCACATTTCCAGCACCAGCACCCACTGTTGTTAAATGCATCCATGCAGAGAGACAAAAGTGTATATGAGGGTGGGATATGTATCTGTCCAAGTGTGAACACACAGGACCTCAGCAAGAGGCTTACTTGGGAGAAGACAAGGACACTCGAGCATTTTTCCCTACCAAGACATTCTTCTATTAAACAAACCTTATTTATCACTTGGGTAACATGCCAGCAAGGAAACCCCTTGCCCCAAACACAGTAAAGCCCCTCTCCATAGAGTACTGTACATGTAAATGTAGGCCTCAGTTATGGCTAAAACCATTTCAAAGTCCAAAGTCTTCAGTGTTACATGCCTTGTGCTAGAACACAGGGCCAGCCTTACACAAGGGTGGTTGAGTCTATCTCTATATTATATCTTTATATCTATCGAAAACATAGAAATATATAAATATATAGGATTTTATTTATAGATATATAAGCATGTGATTTTAATCTTTTTTACTGTGTGTATATGTACTGGGATGTGCGTATATACAATATATAGACCATATGCATATGTACTGTATACATACACTAGCTTACATGCACACACATCATACATGTCTCCAAGGGAGACAGGAATTGCATAGGCATTACTGCATTGTATACAATGGCTGGGGGATCAACGTACCATTTCTCTGCTTTTAAGACCTCTTTTGACAGGGCTGAGAGGGGAATCTGCAAAGGCAGAGGCTGTTTCTGCTTATCCGCAAGCTGGCTGTCTAGGCTGTCTTACACACTGGTCAAACAAACAACAGCAATCCTCATGAGATAAGAAAGGAGCGGGACTCCAAAGACCCCCACGGGCTACCTGGTTGAGTTTGTGCTGTGAGAAAGAGATGGACCAAGCCTGAATCATGTCTGAATAGTCATATCAGCAAAAGTGTGACCAGCATGGGGGACACTGCCGCAGTCAGCTCAAGATCCAAGGCAGATGACATACCAGGACCCTGCCCACTGCGTCCCCTCACAACCCACCATAACTCCTGTGTGCTTTTGCTGGTATGGGAAGAGCTTTGGTCTCTTGTGAAGATTATCCCTGCTGAGGTCAGTCTCATGGCTGGAGGGCCCGGACCCCTGCAGACACTGGCAAGCCCTGCAAAAGGACGTCTGAATGTGCTTCACGGATTTCTGCTTCACAGCAGGGTAAAAGAGGCAAGGAGCCTGAGCAAAAAGTGGGGAAGGGAAATTGGTAACCAAAAATCCTATGGGCTAGAAATACAAACCCAAGGGTCGGGAGAAGTGTGCATTATTCACAGTCAGATGCCATAGCTAAGATGCAGAGGGAAGAAGAGAATAAAGAGCTCATTTGAGAAAAACTGAACCCTTCTGTCTTTGCAGCGAAACAAGTTCAAGATGCTGTGAGCAACACATTCAAAACAATTTCCTCTCACTCGCTCAGCACAGCAGGAAAGGCATCGATTAAACCTGATGCACGGTGATCTCCAAGCCAAGGAGGCCTCCTCCTGTGCTCCACTGTGTGCTCCCTATGCCTGCTGCTGCCTCCTGGTGTCACTGACACCTGGTGTCACTGACACCAGGACAGGCCTAGGCAAACAGGGAACAGAAATGCACCTGCTCCCAGGAAAGTCTGGGGGGGTACTGGTAAGCCAGGGGCATTTTGCATCAGTATTCCTCCCTCCTCCCTATCTTGCTTATGCTGGCACATTTCCATCCACAGACTATCCATCAAAGTAAGAGCTAGAGATCTGAGATAGGCAAGTAATCCTGGAGGGAAAGCTTGCAAAGCACCTGCATTAGCCTAGGATAAAGGCCAGGATTATTTTCTGATGGGGGTGTAACAGGGAATTGTGTCGAAGGAGCTGGCCTGGGCTGGGCCAGCTGCTCTGCCAACCTCTTGTCTCTCCCCATCACCAATGCAAGGGGTCTCTGACCTTTCCCATCATGAATATCTGCAACATCCAGTGGCAGGGAATCATGCTTCCTACTGACATTGCTTGCAGGTGTAAGCAAAGTTATTTGCTAAAGAAACAAGCACTTTCCCTGTGTCAGCTGACTGCCTGGAGAAAAAATCCCACCTGCTGTACATTTCACTCTGCCATTAGGAATAACAGCTGCCGATGAAAGGTATCACTGATGAGAGCAGGATTTGCAAATGAAGCAAAGGAAAGGAGTGACAAATTGGAGGAATCATTTCAGAATAGGACCTCTGGCAGCTCTTGCCGAGAAGGCAAGGCACCATTTCCTCCCCAGTGGCAAAAGTTAGGAGGCTCAGATCAGGAGTTGTAAACAGGCCCCTCAGGTGGTTCAGCACAAGCCCTGGGAGAGCACTCCTGTCTCCAAAGTGTCTGGAGTCTGTCCTCAAGTATCCCTTCCTTCCATGTGGGCCAGGCACTTTGATGGGGTTCTGTGCCAAGGAACTTTTGCTGCTGCTAACAGAAAGGCAGGTGATTTTTCGACTCCATCCACAAAGAGCTAATGGAGTTCCTACGGACTCTATGATTATGCTCACCTTGCCCATCTCCAGGTTGGAAACTAATGGAGCAGCAATCTTTTTTTTTTTACCTTTTTGCATCTCCTTACATTTTAAAAAGGGAGGAAGCCTGCCGTCTCCTCAACAGGCAGCAGCTCCATGAGCTTAGTGGCAGCACCCTGAGCAGAGCCTATTTACCAGGCCCGGAGAGCTACAAGTAACTTGTGTAGAAAGATCCCTACTTTATGATCAGGCAAACAACCATCCAAGTCTGCACAGCTGGCAGAGGGTTTCCAGTTTAATATTTACTCCTCTGGATGAATGAGTCAATTTTATCACATCATTTATAGGGAAAAACAGAAAAAAATGCAAACAAAGCCATTTTTTTGCTTGCTAGGTGTTACATATCGATGTCCCTGTGCTGTGACAGTGTGATGCCCTGACCTAGCTTGTGACATTTCCATGAGGACCACAGGGAAAAGCACTCAGTGCCTACAACCTTGACAGCACTTTGGCAAAAGGTGGATGGCGCTGGCGCAGGTGCCCCCTCCTGCCCGAGCTACCCTCAGGCTGCACATGCTGTCAGAGGTAAGGCAGAGGGAATAAGTGCTACAGAGGGTACGCTGCCTGACCAGCCCTCGCTGCTATATTCACAGGGTCTACTCTACTCCACTGGGACTGTCTGACCAAAAGGCCTCATTTTACAGAAAAGGGGGCAGAGTCTGAGCACAAGGATGAGCCACCACTAGTGCTTTGGGTGGGCTCAGTCCCTCCTCAGTCCTATAGGGACAGCGGCAAACACTTCCAAAACCCTGATCAACACCAGTCTAGCTCTTCCTGTGGGATGTGAAAGCTGAACCAGTCCGTAGTGGCTTGGCTGCATGCCTCTGCCCAGTGCTGGCTGTGAAGTTCTACTGAAGGCAAAGGGGTTAGCAGGAGGTGAGTGAGACCTAGGTAGAAGTGTGTGTTTTCCTGGGGAAGACAGTGCGTGAACCCTGGCAGTGAAAGTGACTCTGAGAGAGATCGGTTCCAAACATGCTACATCTCCATTGAAAACAAACAAAAACATTTAAAAAATAAAATAATATTATATATATATATATTTTTATATAAATGAAAAGCTATCATCTAGCAGCAACGGTTCTAGAGATATCTTAGCACCAAGACCAAGGGCAGGGGGGGTAACAGGAGAAAGGAAAGGTTCAGTGTTGCTGATACCACCATCATGTTTCCAAACAACACAGCTTGGCACAAAGCTCATCCCTCTGGGAAGTGAGAACATGTTGGCTTGGACACCTTTTGGACAACAGGTCTCACTCCCATGATGGTCTGGTCAGGTTGGTGCTGTCCATGCCACATCAGCAGGGCAAGGCACTAGCATCTGTGGAGTTTTTGCACCTTTTTTGTTTGTGTGGTTTGTGTTTTTTCTTTTTTTTTTTTTGGTTGGTTGTTGCTTTTTTTATTCCTTTTTTTTTTTCTTTTCTAACCTGAAGTGATATTGTGTGGATGCCTGGAGCTTGTTTACTTTAAAAGAATAAAACAAAAAAGAGCCCCAAGCCCACAGAACAATCTCTTTGTGATGGAAGGTGCAAGTCCCCCATTCACATTTCAGCTGGACTCCACATTCCTTCAAGAAAGGAAGAAAGATTTCGCAGGAAGAAGTGGAGCATCCCTTCTTCCTGCTGTCATCAGTCTGCTGCGCTGTGGAACATGTTACCTTGGTCACAAGAGAATACGTGAACCTTTGTAGGACATCATCACATGAATATAATCCAAGATAATCTTGCATTGATAGCTCCTGCCACCAAACCGCAGCAGGTTTTTCTTTCAGTCATTCCAAACAAAACAAAACAAAACAAAACAAAAACCCCACAACAATCTAGGATTATAAAGACATAGTATAAATAATGTAAATTAGAATATAATTTTTTAAGCCTTTGAATCTCCACCCAGAGATGGCTCTCGACTCATTGGCTGTCTAGCTTCCACAGCAGCCCTGGTTTTGAATGAATAGTTGAATATATATATATATATATTTATCTCATACAATATAAAAATATAAATGCAAAAATTTCCCCCTGCCTTCTCTATTTTGCTATTTTATAGTCTGCACATGACATCATGTTATAATATATGTATAATAGACTGGTATTATGGTTATCATAAACAGAGCTGAAAGCCAAGTATTACTCTACAGCCCAAAGGTAGGGAGAACTGAGAAAGGGGCATCACAGTTTAATGGAGGCATTTGTTTCTAAGTCAGAATAAAAACCCAAAATCATGCCCTCAGATCTTCCCTCCTGCCAGTAATCTCTTGAGCGAAAAAAGCTTCCATTCAACTGAAGAGAACTGGGTGGAGCTGGGAAGCTTAGGGCAACATAAACACACGGGATGCTCTGTCGGAAATCAGAAATGTGATGGTTGCCAACAAAAGGCTCAAATGGCTCAATAACTGGACTGAACAATGGAAGGAGAGGCAGAGATTAAAACTGAGGGGAAAACAAAAAAACAAACAACCCCAAAACAAAACAAACCCCAAAACCCAACAAACCGACAACACACATACAAAGGAAACCACCGGGAGGATGAGGCTGACAAAGACCCGTTGTGTAGCTTATAGATTGTTAAGTTTGAACATGTAGAGTATGGCCCCAGCACATGCTTCTGAAGAATGAAATGTTGCCACCTACATTGCAGCTGCCATGGTTGGAGACACTAGTAAATGTCTAAACATTGTCTCAATCTTTAAAATTCTGCTTAGCTTCTATCAGACGCACATCGTCTAACTTTTAAATTTTCAGTGTGGGTTTTTCCTTAATATAGATAATATATATATTTTATATAATATATCAAAGTTTAGAGTATAGATTAAAAAATTATTCAACTGCTTTCTGATCTGAGGCATTCCTTCCTAAATATCAGGGTAAAACTCAGAGCCATGGTCCATGCTCTGCAACATCGGCTTCTGATCAAGAGATGACATCCTGCTCAGCATTTCTGCTGACAGCGCGTAACTATTACCGGACTTCTCCTCAAACCAACTATCTAGTGCCCTTTTGCAATCAAAGTTAGCAATGGGTGGCCCGTTAACAGCAATTGTCAACAGATCACTGAGCTGCTCCAGCGTGAGCCGAGAGCGGTTGTTCTTGCGCACTCTCTGCAGGGCAGTGCGCCCCTTCTCACAGCAGGCCGAAGAGGTGGGAAGGACTTTGAGGATCTGAACTATTTTATTTAGGAGGGGAAATCTCTGTTTGTATTTACAAATGTGACTAAGCAAGTCTTTAAAACCGTTTTTGGTATAATAATCCACCTTGAGTTCTCGCCACTCCATCAGCAGACTCCCTCGGGTGTCCATCCCCTCTCTGCAAACCTCTCTGGAAAATGATGGGACTGTCTCCAGGTGTTCAAATATTTGTACCATATCCTCCTTCCCATAGCTCATGAGCTCATCAGTGCTTCTGGGCCAAGCTGCAAGGTCAAATACCTGACAGGCCTTCACAAATGTCCGGCTGCGGGAATCAAACCTTTGGGCCAGGATCACCTGGGTCTTTTGGCAGATCTTTTCTCTGATCGACTGGAATTTGGCTTCAGCCACCCGTAGGTTTTTCACAGCAATGCCATTAAAGCTTTCACGGAAGTTTTCCTCAAACTCCTGCAAGTACTCCCCAGGTGAGTCTGCTAGCCGGCTGATCTCCTGGATGGCCTCCTCTATTTTATCATCCACCTGCGACACAAGAAGGTACTCCCCTTGGAAGACGTAGGCAAGGCGTGAAAGCACAGCAATCACATCCAGCAGGAAGTAGATGAGTTTAATTGACTGGTAGTCCATCAGGAACTGCAGGAGGGCCAAGGCAATGGCAGAAGCATCTGCCCTTTGGGTCTGGCCACTGACATCTTTGAGATGGGCCACAACCTCAAGGTAATCCTTGATTAGAGCATTAAGCACATTCTGCTCCCCGATGATCCACTTCACTGCTCGAATGTCCCCCAAGAACTCAGTTTCCTCACACAGAGTGGCAGCAGTGACTCTCAACTCGCACATGAGTCGGGGAGAATAACGGTAGAAACTGAGCAGCTGCTTCAAATTATTTTCCAGCTCCTCCAAACACGGTAGTTCCTTCCCACTGATGGCATCCAGAATTTCCAAGTGGGGTCTATGCACCATAAAGGGCAGGCAGAGAAGCCAGGGCAAGGTCTTTCTGATTGTCATGAACAAGTTGGCTCTGAGACTGGCAGTAATGTTAGCACCATCAACTCCCAAGCCAACAGTTGGCTTCTCATCCTGCAGTCGTATTCCCAGGCTGGAAAAAGCCCGGTCTAATGCTTGGAGGTAACTGTCTGTTGTAGAAAAGCCCAGCTCCTGAAGGGACAGGAATTCAGTTGCCGGAGGCCCATCGCTGCTCGTGTACTGCACATAGACCGCAACCGTGTCTGCAAGCAAATCATCGCTCTGTCCATCCAGAATGATGCTGAGGAAGGGAGACTGCCGGATGCGTTCAACCAGGTCCTCTCGAAGAGCCCGGGCGATATGGTGAATTAAGATTTGGCAGTCTCCTTCATTCATGTACTGATCCACCACCTTGAGTTCACACTTTCTCAGTAGTTCCGCCAGAGGCCGAAAGTCATAGTAGGGCCTGCCCTCTAGGGCCAAGTGGTAGGCTGTATTGAAGAGCAGGGTCATATTTCGGCACATCTCTTCTGTCTTCTCTGGGTGCATCCTGAGCTTGTAAAGCTGCAGGCACTTCTTGTGGAGGTTGCTCTGGCTGTGAAGCTTTATCGTGTGTATCTTGAACTGCTTTGAGCCAATGATGAAGGCTGAAGTCCGAGAGGATTGCACTGTGTACTGTCTACAGACATGGCACCACATTTCATTCAGTGTTGGGGAGTACCGCAGAAACCAAAACTTTTTAAGCCACTCTTGCTTGAACCGCCGTATCCTCCGGCCTGTCGCAGAAGACATCTTGGAAGGCTCATCTGTAGCAGCAATCATGTCATTGGAAACTGATTCATCAGCAGAATCCACCTCTTGGTCATCGTCCTCCATGATGGTGGGAACTGAGATGATGCTTTCTGAAGCTGTAACAAAAAAAAATAAAAAAAAAGGAAAAAAATATGGTATTTACAAAGTTGCTGAGCTAGAGAAGCATCCTACTGGTGACAGTAGAGCATTGCCCAGTGAGCTGGACACAACCTCCCCTCTCCTGCCCACAACACATTATGGATAGAATTTGAATCATGGCTTAGAAAGGAAAAGAAGTCAATATTTCTGCATATGAACTTTGTCTCCAACATGCCACAACGAACAGCAAGAAAGGACACTACATCCTGGCCACTTGAACAATACACTGTTTGACCCAAATGTTCCCTTTACTGAAGACTCCTGGCTGCTTGACAGCATGTTCCTGGAGGAAAGGAAATGTATCTTCAGAAAGGGACACATGGTTGTGTTAAGGCAGTGGAGGAAACAGAGAGGGCTTTCCAACAAGGGACACAGCAGGACATCATTTCATACACAAAGAGAGCACATTTCAGTGTTACCACAGAGTCATTCAGATTTTCTTGGTAGCATGTGAGGTATTGTGGAGGGGCTTCCGCTGAAAGAGAATGCATCAAAAATACAGCAAACAAACTGTCTGCAATGGAATGTCTTTTTTATTGACAGTGTATTATCAATTACAATGGCAACAAATAGAGCAAGTTGTCATACAGAGTCTTTCCCAGACAGTGTTTTCCACTGCACCCACAGCGTCAGCTCCTGGCCCACCCAGTCACAAAACCTGACAGTGAACCTTCCATGGAACCACAGGTTCACCTGAATACTCAGAGCAAAATGCTTTAGATGGGTACACAGCACACAGGCATCTCACTACTCTCCTTAGGCAGGGTTTGGAGAATGCTCTAACTCGGCAGGGCTTACCTGTGGGGTCTGAGAACTCTTGGAGCTCGGGTACCTGGGGCGGTAACACGGGTGGCTCAGGTAACTTCCCAGATCTCAGCATGTCTAACTCAGCCTGTAGCTCCCGGATTTTCCTCTTCAACCGGATGCAGTTGGGGCAAAAGGATGTGCTGGGGATTTCATGGGAGTTGCCTTGTGCAGAGACCAGTGACAACTCGGTTGGGCTGTCTGCTTTGAGTGACAGGGGCTCTTCTTCCTCATCTTCAAGGATGCCCACCTCCTTGGCTGAGATGAAAGAGGAACTGTGGGGGACCTTCCATTCCCCTTCGCTCTGGTTTCTGCTGAGGCTCAGGGAGCTGTGCTGCATGGCACCGCCACACTGCTCAAAGATGTCTTCAGCCTGGTATTTAGATGCTTTTCTGATGGCAAGTGGTGTACTTGTTGCTAACTGGTTCTCATCAAACTTGGCAGACTCCAAAGAAGCCTCCAGGACGTCTTTGAAGATGAGGTCAATCTTTTTTTTCTTTGTATGGGGGTGGGATTCCCCCTCGTCACAGCTGCGCTTGTAGGGGCTCTTCCCTTGCTTTAAGGTGGTGAAGTGGAGTGGCCCCCTTGCATCCTCTTGATTTTCTATGTTCTTTTCTGACTTTTCACTCTGTAACTTTTTGTCTCCTAGAAAGGAAAATGGGGTGTGGGGATTATCACTGGGAACCGAGCAACATCCCTCAATCTAAAACTCAAACAAAAAAAGAACAAAAAGGCAGACTGGATCTCTGCAGGTCTGCATGTTGTGTTACAAGCCAGGGAACCAACACAACTCAGTGGAAACTGAGGCTTGCAAGAGGAGAAGCCCTGCTAATGGGCATGTCTGCAAAAACAGAGACAATCCTGGGTAGCCACAGCAGAGTAGAACCCACACACTTTAAAGAGAAGAGAAACTACAGGCAGTTTGTTTAACCTAAAGGTGTAACCAACCTGTGCTGGAAGAGGACTATGAGGTGAATGACTGATCATAGTGGAACCTAATACCCAGAGCCTAAGCGCCATTTTGGCTGGCTGGAAGTCCTGTGCCTGTTTTGACTTGGTAAAAGGTATCAAGTGTACAGCAGTGCAGTGAGAGATTTACACCATTTCATGACAACCCCAGCGTCTGTGCACGCCATGGCACAAAGTTTGCAAGCCCCTTTACTCTCATTCACTTTGGAGGCTGCTCCAGAAATGCAAATGTAAAGGAGTAAAAATAACTTGCACTCTTAAAACCTAAGGTACTCATTGTCAACAGAGCTACAACGGGTGAATGCCCGCCAAGGATGGGACATGTAGCTTGTCCCGGTGGAGTCTGAGAGTATGGCCATTCAGTAATAGGAAAAAAAAAATAAAAGCAACCTCATACAAATTATTAATTGCTTAAAATAAAGGGAATAGCCAGATTTCCTTACCTGAAAATTCAAAAGACGATAGGTTTGGCTCAATTTCCATCATTCTTCTATCTTGTAAATAACTTCAAGCATTGAAGGCTTCCCAAACAAGACGCTGCTTTATGCTGATTTTTGGTTTTGTTTGCTTTTAAAGTGTATTCATGCTTTCATAAGAGTTATGGAGCATAAGCTACCATTCCCTCTCTAAGGAGAGCAATGCTAAGAATGCAGAAAAGATGCAAGACTTGAAACAGTTAGAGTAAGGCACTGTAAAAAGGGCTGGCCTGAATGGATGGGATTTTGCACTTAGTTTGGATGCTGGCTGGGAATCCCAGCCACTCTTTTAGTGAATCCATAACAACAGATCTCATTTTCAACACATTGATGAGAATTTCTATGGACAAAGCTTTGAGTCTCTGTCTTAAGTATTTTCCCTGTTACAGACTATAACAACTATTGTCAGAGGTAGGGATTTAGAAAACGAATTCTTCTTTCTTGGTGATTTTTTCCCCAACCAGCCGAGTGCTTCAGCCCTATGGAAAAGCTAAAAATCACAAGACAATCCCTCATAATACTGGTCTCAGCTCTAATGATGAGGCGGGTCAGAAACTATCTACAGAAACGAACCCCAGGAACAATGTCATTTTTCTGTGAGTTAATAAAGTGTGCCACTTCATTTGACAGGCTCATCTGCAGGGGATTTGAAATCTTTTAAACAGAAAGTAACTCAACAAATTTTTGTGCTGCTTCCTGACCACCTCCCAGTGCCCTCCCAGCTGAGGCTTTGATGTCTTGCAAGTCTAGAAATGGCCCAAGTGATGCCCCCTTTTAACAACATCTCTGCGCCCCTCTTGTGAACACAGGCTGAGCTCAGCTTGTAGCAGGATGAGGTCAACAAGACATTTCTGGAATGGTCTCCACAGCCACATGGATTTCTACCTGAGCACGTGTTAGGCTATGGCAGGTCCTGACGAGTCCAGAGGCAGATCCTCACTGCACTTGTAGCACAGAGCAGGCTGTGAGTTACCATTTCAGCTCACACAAACCACCACACCATGACAAACCACGACTAAAGGCATGTCTGTATGGCAGGGCAATAGCTCATTGCCTTGGTGCCCCTCTACAGCAGCTGGTCCAAGGGCACAGACTGTCTTGCTGTACTTTCAGAAAGTACTAAGCCATTTGGATGACTAATGTGTGCATGTTATTGCAGCAAAATCACTGAAGCTGTACCTACTCAGTGATGTTCATTAATATAAAAAAGCAAATTCATAACGATGTTCATTCAGAAGTGGGAATTGCCCAAGTACAGCCACCAAGATGTAACACTGCAAGTGCATAATAATCCTAAGGTGATAGAGATAACAAGCTTTTTCAGGACATCTTGTCCACCCCATGACTGAAGAGGAGACACCTTTTACCAAGTCAAGGCAGCAACAGCAGCTGTGTAATAATATACACGGGAATCTTAATTACAAAGTTATATTTAGTGTGGCTGCCCCTCTGAGGCCCTGCCATTCTGCATCTAGCCTAGAAAGAAATGCTCCTAATTAACTTCAGGTATCAGCATTGTATAGATGAACAGATGCATTAAGAATTTCTGCTTTCCTCTAAAGCTTCCTGTATTGCTGACAATATGCTGGCCCAAAGGACTGCTGGGTTTGTTCCAACACTGCTACTCTTTAGATAAGATAACAATTTCTATCCAAGGAAGAATCAGTCTGATAATTACAAAGCCTCCTGTATGTTGTACATACACTCTAAGGTTGTGAGACTAAGGAGTCTCTAGCTGATGTCGCGCTGATCCCAAATTATCTTTCTGAAGAAAGAGGAGATAAATTAAACGAGGAAAATGGACATACAAACACACCAAGGAAATATCTTTCATAGGCCCATGAAACCAGCTGGAGCTCCCTCAAACAGGCTGCTCATAGGAGCCAGAGGGTGCAGCATGTTCAGAGGAAAAACCTAAAGCTGTCTGTAGGATCACCAGCTTGGCAATCTTCAGGCCAGAAAGTCTTGTGACAAGGGTGCTCTGTGATCCCTGGGTGTTGCATTAGGCCTTTGTAGCACACACATGACATGACACAACACAACACATGACATGACACACCATAGCAAAAATCTTTCTTTCATGATCTCGATGACAATGGTTATCTTATTCTTCTTGTACACCCATCCATCCATGCCAGGCAGAGCTGGAGGCTCTCACCCAGAGATGCTCTGCTTCTAGAAGTGCATCTCTCATCACACAGCCTGTGCATCACCTACTTCACCCACTACACTTGGGCCAACAAGTGGGGCAGCCCAAGGGGATCAGGAGAGAGGATGGAAACGGAAGGGACTCACCACTTGTGAAATTTCTGTTGATAGTCTCCTGGGACATACTATGCAACCGCTTCATGTAATCCTCACTGTACCACACCCGCAGCCTCTCCCCAGGGTGGATGTCACGGCAGGCACGGAAGTAAATCCTCTCGCTGTGCTGAAAGGCCATCAGGTTCTGCTCCCTCTCCTCCCGGGAGATGATGACGTACCTGAGGGCAAGGTGACAAGGCAGGTGTGAAGCACAAACTTCTCTCCTGTGCCCCACCTTGTATCAGAATGACAACTATGAAGAAGCCAGAATGACCTTCAGAGAGAGCCATCAACACAGCCAGACTGGAAAGCATGGAATTATAAGCAATGGTGTGCAAATTTCCAGAGATACAGAACAATGAGCATGGACATCCAGGGAGCACTAAGCCAGTGGGTCAATTTCTTGCTGGGGAAGGGATGACAACAGTGCATATCCAGCCTGAAGGGGTATCTGCCAGTAAGGGTAACACAGACTCTCCTGGGCAGAAATATCTTTGTCTAGTGATGGAAACAAGGACTTTGTGACTCCCCACCATCACTTCACATCCCAGGGCTTCCTTCCTTGTTCTCAGGAACATCTAGAATATGGCAGGGTTCCTCTGCCTATCTACTTCCCCAAAACACTGCCTTCCTTTTTAGTAGATAACAGATTTCCTTGCTTCTCTCCTCTCAGACAAGCGGAATTGAGATTCTAAGGACAGAAACATGGATACCTAATGTGCATGGGGGCATGTGCCAGTAGTCCAAGGATGTTCTACTACTGGAAAGTTTTGCAGCTGAGAGGTCAGCAGGGTGTGACATAAAAATACAAACAGCTCTGCAAGTGGAAACCCCAGCACCACATTGTGGGGATCTCCTGGCAACACTGACAGAAAGATCACTTTCTGGGCATGGGATTTATTTTCCTGATTTAAAACAGCTAATTTTCAGCTCAGTAAAATGTATTTATTCCCACTACAAGCAACCTGCTAAGACAGAGATCTATCACTAGGGTCATATTATTTGCTCTCACACTACTCATGTTCCTTTCAACCTAAGGTGACTGAAGGCCCACACTAAGACCTTAAACCATCTTGTCCGGGAGCTGCTTTATGCTGATGACACCACCCTTGTTGAACACACAGAAGCAGCCCTGCAGCGTTTAACATCCTGCTTTGCAGATGCTGCTGAGCTTTTTGGGCTGGAAGTCAGCTTAAAGAAGACTGAAGTTCTCCATCAACCTGCACCTCAGGAAGTCCTCCTTCATCTCCATATCACCATTGGCGAATCAGAGCTCAAATCAGTCCAGCAGTTTAATTACCTAGGTAGCCTCATCTCCTCGGATGGTAAGATTGATGGAGAGATAGACAACAGGTTAGCAAAGGCATATAGAGCTTTCGGAAAGCTTCATAAAAGAGTTTGGCGAAATAAACACCTGAAGAAAAGTACCAAGATCAGTGTTTACAGAGCCATAGTGCTGTCTACTCTCTTATACGTTTCTGAATCATGGGTCATTTACCGCCACCACCTGCGACTCCTAGAACGCTTCTATCAACGCTGTCTCCGAACAATCCTAAACATCCACTGGTCAGATTATGTGACCGACACATCTGTTCTAGAGCAAGCAGCAGTCACAAGTATTGAGGCCATGTTACTGAGAACGCAGCTGCGCTGGGCAGGGCACGTCTCCAGGATGAAGGACCACCGCCTCCCTAAGATCCTGCTTCATGGTGAACTTGCCACCGGCTGCCGCATGAGAGGAGCCCCGAAGAGAAGATACAAGGACTCCCTGAAACAACATCTCAGCCTTGGCCATATTGATCATCATAACTGGTCTACTCTGGCCTCCAATCGGGAGGCCTGGAGACACACCATCTATAACGCTGTGGATGCTTTTGAGAAAGCAGACAGGATCACCCTTGAGGAGAAAAGACAACGCAGAAAGAATTGTGCCTTGCAGAATATACCATCTAAGGAGTCTTTCTGCTGTGCCTTTTGCAACCGGACATGCCTGTCTCGTATTGGCCTTTTCAGCCACCAACGCGCTTGCAACAAACGTGGGTAGAGCCCTTCCCAAATCTTCGTTCGCGAAACCTGGCCATGATGATGACTCATGTTCCTACTAGTGGACATGAAAAAGGCTTGGTAATACTGGCTCCAGCTGCCACCAGCATGTGCTCGCAACACCTACCCAGGACCATGAGGAGGACCCATCATGGCATGTACAGACCCCAAAGCACACCCGAACGGTTCATAGATAAAGCTTATTCTCTTCTTATGCCATTCGCCTCTGTTATTCAGCGCTCCCTGATGCAGCAACATTAATGAAGGCAAGTGGCATATGGCTCCTCTGACTGCTGCTGCTACTAGTCCTTGCTCAAGTTCCCTTATACAGACAGGTATATCTTTGGCTTAAGAAATCTGCCAAACTTTCCTTGCATATTCTTCCCTTTTCCAGCCATGTGAATGCACTAATTAAGACACAAGCCCACCTGCAGGTGATCACACTAACCCACATACATAAGGTCACAAACTTGGTGAAACTTCCCACAAAACACATAAAACAAGTCTGTAGTGTCTCAGACTGCCCAAGAGTCCAGCAATTCTGGTTTTAATGTTAAGCAACTGTGCACGTGCCTGCAAGCAGTTGTATTTTTCTTAATGTGTGCTACCCAGGATTCTCTGCCATTTTCAGCAATTTTTTAAACAGTAGACTCTGGCACTGCCAAAATTGGCTTTTATTAACCCTTCTTTTACTTTTGGTCACAAAACAAAAGAACTTTTAAACTACCAGTTTGTGTATTTGAAAAGGAAGAAAGACCTGGACCAGCACATTGGGAAGGAGGCCCTGCAATGGCACAGCTGGCAGGCTGTTGCTTCTGGGTGTTAGTGATCACTCATCAAAAGGTGGATCAGGCATTCAGACAGCCATGAGATACACAGGCCTTGAAATATACCAATGTGCTGTGGTCAGTCTGATACCCTGCAGTACAGGAGATGCTAGAGGATGCTCTCCCCAGTCCAAGCAAAATGTCAGGATGCTTCCTAGCATCCCACTGTCCACAACAGTATAGTGACAAGATCAGGGTGCCCCTGCAAAGGAGCCTGGATACCTGCAAAGATTTACCAACCGGAAGTCACTCAGAGATCCTTAACACAACATACAGGACTCACACCCCCACAGCCAGTGGCACCGAGGAATTCACTGAGCAGTGCCAGGATGGTCCGGTGCAGTCACAGAAAACTGCATTTGACAGTGGGATTTAGAAAATTCCCTAAAATACAACTTTGAACAGGAAGGGGAGAGTCTGGTTATCTATTCCCACCACGGCTCGCTTTTATTATTAAGTATTTTGTTAAGCATGAGCATGCTTTTCCTATTTATTGCTCTCCTTCTGCCTCTACAGCCTCCAAGTTTCTGCCTGAGAGCGTCCTTCAGCTCTGCTGCCTGTGTCCAGTAGCTCTGGCCACTTCCTGGAGCAGTGGGGAGCTGGGAGGAGAGCGCAGTGTGGAGGGTATGAGCTGCAGAACTGCTGCAACCCTGCAGCATGCTGCCTGGCCGCTCACTCCCATCCAGCCTCCTGCAGCTACCAGCCCCGCCAATTTCACCAAGAGCCCTTAACAGAGAGTTGTGGAATAATCCAGTCACAAACATGTTTCCCCACAGCTGCTCCCAGCTAGTAAGTGGTTTACCGTCCTGGAGAGGAAGCTTTCCACCTGTGATACTTCCCTCAGGTAAGGTAAATGGGATGAGATCATCCACACAAACAACCCAGTGCTGCCCAGCCTCAGGCTCCAGTGTCCCCAGAAGCTCAAGACACAGGTTACAAAGGACTGCATAAATCTTATACTGGTCTAAGACACCTAGCGCTGCTGCACACCACAGGTGCTTTCCAAGGATGGAGAAAGTCATTCCACAAAAGGGCAGCCTGCTTGGTGAATAGGGAACACAAATTGCCTGCTGAGGAGAGACTGCAGGATCTGCCTTCTCTGACACATGTCCCGAAGCCAAAGTGCTCACATCCTGAACAACCCAACCCTTCCTGTGAAGGCTGGAAAGTACCCAGTTCCCCCCCCAATGCCAAATACTCAGTCTGGATTGAGGCAAGGAGGCTACCTTGGTTTGGATGCCCAGGACAGGCATGGTTAGGCTGACCCAAGCAATGCACACAGATGGGCACAGCCCTGCTTGTATAGCAGCTTTCCCAAGGGACCACGATCCTCAGAGGAGGACTGGGGTCATACTGCTCCCAGGACATATCCAGCCATCCTCAGCTGCATCTGGTCCTACAAAGGTGCATTGCTACCAGCCACAAATAGGTAATTTCATGTCCTGCCCAGTCCCTGGGACAGGTCAGGCTCAGATCCTGCCCAGGCTACTCAGGACCAGCCATTGTACCAATGGAGACCAGTTATAACCCAGCTGTAGCTATTGGGGCTTCAATCAACCCCATCACTGTTGGAGGCACAGCTCCTTGCTTTGCAGGACCACCTTTCTCATAGACTTTCCAGCTAGTAGCAAATAAACATCATTTTGCCCTTTTTTCTAAGCCACAGCCCACTCAGGACACCAAATTGCCACATTTTGGGATGGTCAAGTGAGCATGCCCAGAAAAATGTCAAGGTATTTTTTGGCAGCTGGGACCATTCCTCCCAGGAGGAGGTCAGACCCTCCAGAAGAGACAGCAAAGAGGAAGGGGACGTTTTCAGCTGGAGGCTCAGGCTTTTATCTTTCTCCCCTCTGCTATCCCCCTGGCCTTGCCTCATGCCTCCCTCCTACCCACTCCATTGCTTACCTTCCATCTGGCCCCAGGGGTGCTCTGATGTCACCCTGACAGGCAGAGTAGAGCACTGCAGGGAACAGGCCACTGGCCTTTCCAAAATCAACATCGGGCACAGAGTCAGGGCAGGAGATCCCATGCAAGAGAGCTGCCACCAGCCCAAGCTGGTGCCCCGGGACGCCATACCCAGAGACCCTGCCTCAGCACTCTGATGCTGAGTGTCTCCAGGAGACCCACATCCGTGACAGGCTTGTTACCAGCTCAGGCAAAAATTGTATGAGAGAAACAAATGACTCAACAGCAGCCGTGTTAAAAGTGTTATATATTTATTGCATTCTTAACAAAAATACTTTTAGAAAGAGAGTTTTTTCAGCATGTACAAGACATGATACTGGGGTTGAGCACAGCAGTTTGCTTTG